CTTCCCCTCATAACACCTTACCTGAAATGGATACAAAATATGGAATAATATTTCAAACTCTACAAAATAAAGCATCAGGAATCATATAAAAAAAGTTGCATTATTGCACTTAAGTTTGAAAAATAAGTGATTCTATGCAGGCACAGGGCAGTTCACAACTTCAAACCCTCCCCTGCATGTCCCCTCATCCAAAAGAAATCTTTCAAAATATCAGCTTCTGGGGTCCCATAAGGAAACCATTTGAAGCTCACATGAGAAGGAAAAGTGAGTTTAGGGTCCCACCAAAAAAGACCTTAACAAGTATATAAACTGCCCTAGCCATTTGCCAATTCATTTCACTCCAAGCAATATCTTCTTCTACCAATACACTTGTTAATACAGCAAAACTTTTCTTTCTTCAGGTGAGTCCTTCCTGCATTCTAGAGATCTGCTTAATGCATATAGATGATGTTTCATGTGCTTATTTTTTATACTGTTTCGATAAAGTACTCGACTGGTCTAGACGGTACATAGACAAGATTATATCTTCATCTAGTATTATACAATCCTCCATAAGAAACAAGCCATTGTAGCTGAAAATTTTAAGGCTATTGTTTCGTTCTTACTGATATGGGATTTCTATTTGTAGATAACAATATATAGTAAATGAGTAGTGGAGACTGGATGTGTGCTGCATGCCAGCATGTCAACTTCAAGAAACGCGAGTCGTGCCAACGCTGCAGCTGTCCTAAATATGCCTCCGAAGCCGACGTATCTGCATATGGGACGAACAGAACAGAAGTCTTGGCCGGAGATTGGTATTGTGGCACTTTGAATTGTGGTTCACACAACTATGCAAGCCGAACTAGCTGCTATCGATGTGGCGCATCAAGAGATTATTGTGGATATGGCGCTGGAATGGTGGCACCTGCTGGTGATGCATATGATGCCAGTGTGCTTCCCGGATGGAAAACTGGCGACTGGATTTGTTCCAGGTAAAACCATCTGCCCTTCAATAGCTTAAGCTCTCAGACAAGGTGATTCAATAATAATTTTGGGAGTAGAAGGGGAGATGAATTATTTGACATTAGTATGAAGTGGACTAAGTATATTTTCTTTATCATAATTCCAAGAGATTGTCTAGTAAGTGTACTCACTTAAAATTGACATGCATTTTTCACAAAATTACACTACAAAGAAAGAGTATCTACATGCAATCATGGCCAACTTCCAATGTGTTTTGCAAATTTTGCAGAACTAAAAGGATATTAACATCAGCACACACTATATCTCAAGAGCTCGCGACACGAACACTTGCATGTAATTTCATTG